AAGTACGCCTGTTTATCATCCAGCTTCTTGTGGGGCAACAAGACAAGCTGTCTGGCATATTGCCAACTGTTAAATATAAGGGGAACTGACAAGTAGAGGAATAGAATTCACAAAACACTCAGATTTATCTCATTGTTTTGGAATCCTTAATCATCACATACTTTTTGTTAAAGGTAATGGTTGTCGGCATCCATGTGAGGGCTGGGAGTGAAACTGGGTACTCTCTAAGAGAAGCGCTCTTACCTACTGAGCCATCTTTCTAGCCCCTTCAGATAAGATTCAATATATCAGAATTGCAGAGTCTACCTTTAGTACCAGGTTTTAATTTTTAGTCAACAAACAGCAGAAGGAGGGCTGCAGAGTAAGACCACAGCACCCAAGTAACATGCCAGGCATCCTGCAAATGCCTATGACCCCAATTCTGAGGACTGCTGGAGCTTGCTACCTTCCAGCCTAAATAGAAAAAACACACACTCCAAGAACAGGGAGAAACCTTGCCTCAAAAGAGGGGAGGCATTTAATCGTAGCCTTGGGAGGCAGCAGGTAGCCTGCTGTACATAGTGAATACCAGGCAGCTGAGGCTACAAGATCCTGTCTTTAAGAAAAATTAGGGGCTAGAGAGATGACTTGGTTTTTAACAGCACTGGCTACTCTTGTAGAGGAACTAGTTTCAGTTCCCAGTACTCACGTGGGGACTAATAACCATTCCTGACTCGTAGGACACCATCTTCTGGTCTCAGCACACATGGTACACTTACATGCAGGCCAAACACTCATACATATAAAAATAAAATAGATAAAACTTTTAAAAGAAAGCAAAAAGAATGCCTGAGGATGATGCCCAACAGCTCATGTACACAGGTGGGTGCACACCCCCACACACATGCATACATCCACATACACAACTTAAAAAAAAAAAATTCTAAGTAATTTAAAGCATAGCTGATCATACCTCATTCACAATTCAGCTCCATACTGCATGAAATAATTTTAGATTTTATTTTAAATCCTAAAATGGTAATTATTACTTGCCTGTCTTTTAAATGCTTTGCTTTCACTTGGGTTATCTGTCCACTAGAGAAATCAAATACTTCCTCGCTCAAGAGTTTAAGAATCACCATATTATTCTGACAAAGACTCTCACTGGTCCTACTTGCTCCAACAATGTCACTGATAAAAGTTGGCCAATGCTTGGGCCACTCTTGTTTAAGTATCTAAAATAAAACATTAAACATTCATTTTACTTCACATGCAAAAAGGCAAATTAGACGATTTCAAAGCCGAGTAAATTATCACTTTCCCCCTTTTGTAAGAAAATATGCTATTCTCCAAACCATAAACAAATATAAAACACAAAGTATTTTCAAAATCTTAAGACCACACTTAATTACCCACATCTGCACAAGTATCAGTATTAGCCTGGTATATATATATATGTAAACTACCCAAAAACATCTAAGTCTAATTAAATGATAAAGGGTGGCAGGTTAGCAAGTCTGACTCTACAGGTGTTGAGAATGCTTGCTAGCATTTGAGTACCTGGGATCAACTCCTGCCATCCAACAGACATTTTCTATTGGATAGAATTTAGTCTTTTTAAGGGTATATATTTATTTAGGGTCTACATGTGGTGTTGGGAATCGATTTCGAGATCTTATACATGCTAGGCAAGTGTCCTATCATTGAACCCCAGCCCTTAAATTGGTCCTTAAATTTTTAAATTTGTGTTAATGCAGTGTTGAAAATTTAACTCGGGTTCTTGAACAAGTTACACATGATCTACCACATACAGTAGCCATGGTACTTAAATTACATAAGGGTTTGGACAGTCACAAATTTTGAAATAGTTTGAGGTAGACATTAAAATTAGGGAATAATTTTGTATCAAAAGCCTTAAAAAAATGGACTTTTAAAACATTTGCAGTAGATCATATCTAAGAACATTCTAGACATTCGACAAAAGGACTTGTGGAGTCAATAAACAGGTCAATATAAAAATTGTAAACTTAAGGCTGTAGTGAAGAGACTCTAGTATGTACTCTAATTCACAGTGAAGTGAAAGAACCGACAGTCTTACAATTGATGATTCTTATCACAACAAACCTCCTATCCAACTATGAGTATTCCAGATGTTAAGACTTATTATTTGTAAAATTATTAAGTCTGTGTGTGTGTCTGCAAAATCCACAACTCTGAGGATTTAATTCTTCTCTGGAAGATAGTTAATTGAAAGCTTACCTGAACAAGAATCATATTTAATTTCCCAATATACACCTTTTCCTTCTACGGAGGAAAAAAAAAAAAGTCAGATTAAACACAGGCTTAAGTAGAAACATTAAGAAACTTTTACAGCTCTACTATAAATGTACATGTTTACATGAGTGTAAAAGTCGATTCTAGTCTAGACAAATATTTACATAATTTCACCTTCACAAAAACGATCTCTAGACCACTGAAATGGTTCACCTGGTAAAGACACTTTCTAGTGACCCAAGTTCAAACTCCCGGAGCCATAAGAGTGGTAGGAGAGAATTGGCTTTTTTGCAAACTGTCCGCTGACCTCCACACATGTGCTGTGGCATGTACAAGCAAACACACACACAGACATGAACAAGTAAAATTACACATCAAAGAACTTTCTTACCTCTACACAAGTTGGGTCAGATGACGTCTTGATAATGAGGCCAACGACGTATTTTTTTATTCCTGTTTAAAAAAATTATACATAATGTATTTTTAAAAAGTAAAACCCATTTTTTAAAAAACTTTAAAAAAATTTATTATTTTTATTTTATGTGCATGCATGTATTGCCTGCATGTAGGTAAGTGTATCTGTGTTGTTCAATGCCCGCAGAGGTCAAAAGACTGTTGGATCCCCTGGAACTGGAGTTACAGGCAGTTGTTAGCTGCCATGTGGGTGCTAGGATACGAACCCAGGTCTTCTGCAAGAACAGCCAGTGTTCTTAACAGCTGAGCCATCTCTCTAGCTCCAGTAAAACTCATTTTAAAAGCAAAGTAACGACTCATGTCTGTAATTCCAGCACTTTTGGAGGTTGAGGAAAGAGAATTGCCTCAACACACCGAGCTAGATACAGGACCCAGGGAATTGCAGAGTAATCAGTTTCACACACTAAACTTTCACCAATGCTGGCAACTGTTACAATTGTCAGTTAAGACTGAGGATGAGTCTCTGCTTAGAACACGCCAAGTCTCTGGTTTTGACTGCAAACATTTAAAAAGAAGTTAATGAATATTGTGCTTTCCATACTTTAACTTTTAAGTTTGGAGGAGATGGATCTATGTAGCCCAGACTGGCTATGAACTCACAATCCTTCTGACTTCCTCTAATACCTGTGTACCAACTTAACACTCTCCAATTACACAGGAAAAGTACACCAATCAATGTGCTTTTAAGTTTAAAATGCTTCAAAAGAACCAATATGCATTCTTCCACCAAAATACATCTACCTGGCTGCAGAGGATCATCCTTATAATCCCACACCGGGTAACTTGATAGGACATAAAAGAACTGCCCTAAGTTCCAGGCCAGCCTGGTTACATACTGCGTTCAAAACACTGTCTCAAAACCCCACACCTTTAGTCTGCAGAAGCAGGCAGAGGTAGACGGATCTCTCTGAGTTCAACGCCACCCTGGTCTACATAGTGAGTTCCAGAACAGCTGGGGCTATAGGGAGACCCTGTCTCAAAAAGATAACAACAACAACAAAAATCTCAGGGGGCTGGAGAGATGGCTGACTGCTTTTGCAGAGGACCTGGATTCAATTCCCAGCACCTGCATGGTGGCCAACAACATCTGTATCTCCTACCCTCTGAGGGCATTCCACGACATGGATAAACTTATATACACACAGGCAATACACTCAAAATAAAAATAAAATGTTAAACTACACATGTATACATACACATCAATAATTTTTTAGGAGCCAAGTATTTTCAAACATTTGTAAGTGAACATAGAGAAGCAGCATGGTGGCACATGCCTATAACCCCATTACTAAGAAGATGGAAGGGAGACCCCCAGTTCTACCCCTGCTAGTTCTATCAAAATAACATAAAATATGTATCTCAAAAAGATAACAACAACAACAAAAATCTCAGGGGGCTGGAGAGATGGCTGACTGCTTTTGCAGAGGACCTGGATTCAATTCCCAGCACCTGCATGGTGGCCAACAACATCTGTATCTCCTACCCTCTGAGGGCATTCCACGACATGGATAAACTTATATACACACAGGCAATACACTCAAAATAAAAATAAAATGTTAAACTACACATGTATACATACACATCAATAATTTTTTAGGAGCCAAGTATTTTCAAACATTTGTAAGTGAACATAGAGAAGCAGCATGGTGGCACATGCCTATAACCCCATTACTAAGAAGATGGAAGGGAGACCCCCAGTTCTACCCCTGCTAGTTCTATCAAAATAACATAAAATATGTAAGTGAATGAATTAGAGTTCCAGGCCAGACAGGGCTACACAGTGAGACCCTGTCTCAAAAAAAAAAAAAACAAAAAAAAACAGGCAGGCTGGAAGGGGGGCTCAGGGGTTAAGAGCACAGTGGTTAAGAGCAGCAGCTGCTCTTGCACAGGACCCAGGTTTGATTCCCAGCAGCCACATAGCAACTGTCCGTAAATCCAGTTCTAGGGGATCGACACCCTCTTCTGACCTCCAAGGGCATTGCATGACATGGGTGTACTTACATCCATGCAGGCAATACACTCATATGCATAAAATAATTTTTATTTATTATTTTTATTTTATGTGTATGTATGTATTGCCTGCATGTAGGTAAGTACACTCATGTCGTGCAATGCCTGCAGAGGACAGAAGAGGCCTTCGGATCCCCTGGAACTGGAGTTACAGACAGGTGTTAGCTGCCATGTGAAGCCGGGTCTTCTACAAGAACAACCAGTGTTCTTAACTGCTGAGCCACCTCTCCAGCCCCACAATAAAATACTTTTAGCAGGCAAGTGTGCTCACTTCAGCATCACATGTACTAAAATTGAAACAATACAGAGAAAATTAGCATGGCCCCTGCGCAAGGATAACACGCAAATTTGTGAAGCGTTCCATATTTAAAAAAAAAAAAACAGGCAAGTGAAAAGATGGAAATTGTACTCAGGCAATTTTTCTCTAACCTTCAAGTTGCTTCGAAGTTGAAAAAAAAAAAAGTTTTCTATACATAATAGGTAGTTTTGTTTTTTGCACATTTACTGTTTATGTTGGTGTGTGCACCTGCCCCAGCACACACATGTAGAAGTCACATAGAATCTCAGTTCTCTTTATACCATGTGGGTTCTGTGGCTCAAATTAATTTACTGGCTTAGCAGGAAGCACCATTACCTACTGATCAAGGAATCAAGTTTACTTAGGCTAACCCATGTAACAATCTCGCAGTAACTTCACAAGTGATTACTGTGTATGTAGGTAGGTGTTCTCAATATAAATTAGTAAATCTAATTTTCTTAAAATTCTGATAGTTTGGGGCTGGAGAGGCAGCTCAGCAGTTAATAGTGCTAACTACTCTTTCAGAGGACCTAGCACCCACATAGTGGCTAACAACCATCTCCAATTCCAGTTCCATGGGACAAAACATTCTTCTGACCACCGTAGGCACTGCATACACTTACAAACATGCTGGCAAAACACTCATACACATAAAAATAATTTTTAAAAATTTAGTAAATTAATTGAAAGTCTGAGAATATAGCTCTGTGGTGAAGTGCTTGCCTATCATGTGAAATGTCCTGGTTTTAATCCTTAAAACTACAAATAAAGCACCTACAAAACAAGTAATAAATTAGGTTAAATCACCCAAATTGTTTTAAGATTATTGTGTGCCATGGCAGCTAACAACTGTCCAACTCCAGCTCCAGGAGATCTGATTCCCTCTTCCGACCTCTGCTGGCATTGCACGACACGGGTGCACTTATACAAATGCAGGCAATGCACTCAAATAAAATTTTAAAAAATTTAAAAATTATTGTGTGCATAATATGGGGAAAGGACATTCACGCCACAACATAGGTGGAGAAATCAGAGTCAAACATCGTGGATTCATTTCTCTCCATCCATCCATCCATCCATCCATCCATCCATCCATCCATCCATCCATCCATCCATCCAAGGGTTCCTGAGATCAAGCACAGGTCATGCCATGCTTGCATGGCAAGAGCCTTTACTGAGTTGACTTACTAGCCCTAAAATGCTTTCTGAACATCAGAGTATTCATCAGAAAGAAGAGAGAAATATTCTCTGATTGTGCAACTGATTTATGTAACAGGGCAGTATATATCAATGTTGCCACTACCTGAGACCCAGTGGCAGGCTGTAGGATCACTATTTTCAGGCTACACCAGGTTACACAGCAAGACTATGTCTCAACAAAAAGGAGCATGTCCAAAAAGGCATATAAAACAATGACAATATAATAGATTCATCATTTTAAAATTTTTTTACCTCTTTGCTTTTATTTCATGTCTTGAGTGTTTTGCCTGCATGTATTTAAGTGCATCTGCATGTACAATTTTCCCAGGGGCCAGAAAAGGGTACTGGATCCCCAGGAACTAAAGTTACAAAGGGTTGTTAGCAGCCAAGTGGTTAGCGGGAACTGAACCTGGGTCCTCTGCAACAGTAGCCAGTGAGTGCTCTCTCCCTTCCCTCTCAGTCATCTTTCTAGTCCCTTCAGTACATTAAGTTCTGTTAAGAACTCCTGAGCCAGTCAGAGGGGCACACCTTTACCCAGGCAGATCTCAGTGAGATGGAGGTGAGCCATGTCCACATGGTTCATAGACCCAGACCAGCTAGGGCTACAGAGAGATCATTCCTTTTTAGAAATAATAATAAAAATAAATAAAAGGTAAGAGGATTGGAGAGATGGCTAAGTGGTTAAGAGAATATACTGTTCTTACAGATGAGCCAAGTTCAATTCTGACTCACATCACAACCACCTGCAACTCCTACCCCAGGGGATTCAATGCCCTCTTCTGACCTCTCTGTGCTCATATGCACATACCACATATATAAATAAAAATAAAATATACACATATATACATACTTAAAAATAAAACCTTTAAAAAAAATGGAAGTCTCTAGAGACTCTCAGTTTCCAAGGGTGTGGTAGCACATGCCTTTAATCCCAACACTTGGGAAGCAGAGGCAGGCGGATCTCTGTGAGTTCAAGGCCAGCCTGGTCTACATAGTGCCAGGACAGCTGGGGCTACAGGGAAACCCTGTCTCAAAAAAAAAAAAAATAAAAATAAACAAATAAATGAATAAATAGGAGCTAGAGAGATGGCTCAGCATTTAAGAGCACTAGCTGTTCTTGCAGAGGATCCAGGTTTGAATCCCAGCACCCACATGGCAGCTAACAACAGTTCATAACTTCAGTTCCAGAGGATCCAACATCCTCTTCTGACTTTAATCCCAGCACTCAAGAGGCGAAAGCAGGAGTATGTGTGATCCAGGAGATAGCCTAATCAACATTGCAAATCTTAGGTCTGTAAGAGCTGAGTACACAGTGAAACACTGTCTCAAATAAATAATATTTAAAACTTAAATAACACTTTCTGGTGGAGCCAACCTCCCTATAAGAACATGCCTCTTGCAGAGGATCAGCTTTGTCTATCTCCAGAAGGGAAAAGGAAACAAGGAAAGAGAAGAAATTACAAGTACCTAGTGCAGAGTCCCAATTCTTACTTCATGCATATGGACTGCCTAGGATGCTATAAAATCCCTTTGGTTTTCAACCATGCACAAACGCTATCTTGTGTGTTGGCTGCTCCACTGTCCTGTCACTCTATATAGGTGGAAAAACAAGGCTGACAGAAGGGTATTCCTTCAAGAGGAAGCAGCACTAAAAGTGGAATCAAGATGACAAATCATCCCAATAAACACCTTATTTGGTCTAAAAAAACAATGATGACCTATCCAATTAAATGTCACTCAGGCATGGTGGCTCATGCCTGTAATTCCAGAAAGAGGGTCACCTGTAATTCAAGGTCAGCCTAGGATACACAGTGAGTCCTGGCCACCTTGGACTACAAGTGTCTCAAAAACAGGCAACAAACAAAACTAAAATTAAAGTGTCAAAGAGTGTGTCTATGTAGACACATATACATAAATAAAAATCTTTTATTTGTTTTTTGAGACAGTCTTACTATGTAGCCCTAGCTGGTCTGAATAAAACTTGCTAATGTAGACCAGGCTGACCTGAAATTGGAATTAAAGGCGTGGGCCTCTATGAACACATAATAAAAATTGTATCTTCTAAAAAACTTTAAAAATAATCTTATCTACATTGGCACATAACACATATACACAAAGTGCAAGAACAAAAATATCTGGAAACCCTCACATCACTTATTAGACATATAAATTAAACTAGGAGCTAGTAACTCAGTTATTATTAGCAAATCACTAATTCAATAATCATATATTGAGCACCTATTTACTATGAATTGGGAGTATAAATGCTTTTTTTTTTTTTTTTTTTTTTTTTTTTTTTTTGGTCTTTTCGAGACAGGGTCTCCTGACACACTACCTGGCCTGGAGCTCGCTATGAGGACGAAGCTGGCCTCAATCTCATACTGATCTGTTTGCCTATGCCTCCCAATTGTTGGGATTAAAAGTGCATACCACCATGCCCAGCTACTAAAAGCATTCTTTGATCTCTTTAGTATTAATGTAGCTTGGGGGTGAGGAGAGGTATGAGAAAAACAAGATAGCCAAGGGCAGTACAGAATACCCAGCAGGGGAAGAGAGACCAACAAATACATCGAAACCATAGAGATATTATGAGATAATATTTTCTGGTCCAATGAGCATTGCAGCAATGCAGTAAATTTTATGCAAACGATTAAAATTATCATAAATTATCTTTTCTCAATAGTAAACTGCCTTTGAGACCTGGTCTCATGCAGCCACAACTCATGATCCTCTTGCCTAAGTCCTCCACGTGCAGAGATTGTATATGTGCAACCACTAGAGCCAACAAACGTACTAAAATGTCTTTTAGAAACTTTCTGGCAGAAACAGAATGTGAAGTTACATTTCTAAGGAGATAGGTACAAAGCTGACTGCCTACATATTAGTAACAGGTACAGCTCACAGAAAACTACTGGCTACAAATGCTTCACCCAAGCCATTTACTAGAGGGGTGAAGAAATTTGGATATAGGCCTAGTACTGGGATAAGTGGGGAACCCAAGGCCATTAGAAGTTCACTGATGGGGGCTGGAGAGATGGGTCAGTGGTTAAGTGCAGAAGACCCAGGTTCAAATCCCAGCACCCACATGGCAGCTAACAACTATCCCAGGGCTTCCAACAGCCTCTTCTGTCCTCCATGGGCATTGCACAACACGTGTGCACTTACCTACATGCAAGCAATACACTCATACGCATAAAAATATAAAAATAATAAAATATTAAAAAAAAAAGAAGTTCACTGATGGGTTGTGACTTAGTAATAGAGTGCTTAACTAGCAGGTATAAGGCCCAGGGTTCACTATCTAGTACCAAAAAATAATAAAAGTCTACTGATGTCATTTTCAAACTCCCACTAAAGAGCCTAAAAAGAGAAATTGCTCAGTAATTCAATACAGATCTGTGCTTCCGGAGTCTAGTAGTTGATGCTTTGTAGGAAAAGGATCAGATGTGCTTGTCCTGGTACTTGCTGTGTAAGCCAGGCAGGCAATCCTAATGCCTCAGCCTCTCCACTGAATGGGATTAGAGGTATGTGTCAACAACTACCACCTAGGTTTTTACTAATATGCATGCCAAATGTGTAACAATTATGCCAATATATTCAGCCAGCATGCCACATCCAATGAGAATGTGCTTAACAATCCACCATGAGAAACATTTCATTCTAGGGAGGCCAGGCATGGTGGCCCACATTTATTCCTAGCACTCCATGGGCTAGAGAGATGGCTCAGCAGTTACATTAATGCTTTCTCAGGACCTGATTTCAGTTCCCGGCACCCACGTCAGTTGGCTACAACCCTAGTAATTTATTATTTTTAAAAATAAGTTATAATTCCATCTAGGTATAGAATACACAGCCATAATCCCAGTTTGTAA